ACAGAAAACAAGGTGGTGCATGATAATTTGCAAAGAAACAGTATGTACTTTCTCAACTACATGCATCCTATTCTTTTATGTGAAAACAGGAAAAGGCAGGTAGGAAACAAAAACTGTTAGGAAACATAAAGCTTTATTTCACGGATAATCATAATGTTTTGTTGTGAATAAGGAAGCAATAATTTTCGGGATCAAAATATTAGTAGTAAAGTTTTTACCAAAGGTTTAAAGCATAATTCAACCAACAGTTACGAAAATTCTCTCACGCGCCCGTTGGAAACCTTAGAAGTTCACTGTTAATCATTGAAGGCATCCACTGCAGTTTTGATGGCTTGGAAACTGAAAGCATTCTAGTCATAGCAATTTTATTCTTGTCATTTACATGTATGTACATAGCGAGATGAATAAACTGTGACTATTCTATATTGAATGCCATGTGACATTTTATTGTTGTAATTTCTGATGGGAAAATGTTACCGGAAGGGCTCTGGGCTAAAATATAGGGTACCACCCAGAAAATGAAAGGCTTGTTTCTGCAGTTATGAATGCATTAAGTATGAAGTTATAAGTCAAATTTGCTAATGTGTAGCAAAAGATTGCCTTATTCCGAATATTTCGAGTTTTGCTGCCCTGTAATAAATCGAATTGCACGCCTGTAAATGGGGTTTTCTTGGCAGACAGACAGACAGGGATATGAAATCGTGGAAGAAACTCCGGTCTGAGACCATAATCCGAATTTTTTTTTAACGGAACCACAATCCTTTGCGACACAACATGGCGACCGTGCAACAGGTCAGGATGGAGAAAGCACATGGCAGCGACCAGAGAGAACTGTTAGACTGACTTTGTAATGATGTTACGAAGGTATAGGTCATTTAGATTGGCAGTAACAATACAGAGGAATAACTGGTGTCGTTGTAAGAACTTCTGATTGAAGCACACGACAATTTCTAACCGAACTTCATAATGAAATTTGCATCTATAATTTGTAACACGTCAGTGGCAAATAATTATAAGCGTGACGCGCCCCTAGCTGGCAAATAAGAGAGATGGTCGGTCATGGAAAAAGTGATTTGTCGTTAATACCTTTCCAGCTTTCATATAACAGGAATTTCAGTCACAAAACTGTGAAACATATGTCACTGTGTATACTACTATAAATATATTACTGACGTCATGGTCTAGAAAGCACAGCGACGCAAGTATGATCTTTTTTCGGACCGAAAACTGTCAATCCAGTACCACAAGTATGCATGGGTTTTAAATCATATCATGGACGATTTGCAACCATTGCATGATTTTGTCAACGTCGCCGCTGAGTTGTTTCTGAACAAACCCTGTACCCTGCGGAGTGTGGTTCAGCAGCAGTTGTCCTTGGTATAGACTTTCTACAGTCAGGCTTTCAATTACTGGATAAATGTGCACCTTGGTACGTGCACACAAAATTACAGCTGCTCACCCAAAAGTTTTTTTTCCTGTTGGTTCAACGGAGAAATGAAATACATGTATCTTTGTAGGCTTATGTATATAAACATATATTCTACACATCTAGGTGTAAGGCCACACCAATTTAATTTCTTGGTTAACGGATGCGCCCACTTCATTTTTTTCCGGATTGGCAAAAAGGAAATTTATCATCAACTGCAAAATGCTCATATTTTGCCCTTAACAGTTAGAAGCAGTCCTTTTCTTCATAGTTGTGACAGTTATTCCATCTTTCAATGCAGTGTTAGCATGAAAAGTTCAAGATTCATTGTTTAAAATTTTGAACCAGCCCGGTTTGTTGTGTATCATACCATTTTGGCCATAATATATAGGATGCCTAGGCCTGTTTTTCCAACTGGTTCAGTTCTTAGTCAAATCGTCTCTCTAGCTACGTAAGTCTAGGTGCCAGGATTGACGGAATTGTCTGAAAGCCCCTACCTTTATTTGAAGCGTATTGAAAAAGGACCAAAAACCAGAACAGGACATAAGAGCAGTGAGGGAAGTGATGGCAGTGATTCAGACGATGACCTACCAGCTATGAACACTTCCCTGCAGCAAGACCCATGCAGTAAGCCAATTAATACTCCGTGAAGGAGGTATCCCTCCTGCAGGAGTATTGTGGTCAGTTTGTATTTTACGTTCGCAGCTAAAACACACGGTTCCATTTGTTTAACCCTCAGTGTTACATGTTGGGATATTGTTGCTTTTTTCTTATGTCCAGTAATTTGTTGTGTTTTTGATGTTATACAGCCTGTATTTATACAAAGTGTTGGCCGGGGAGTTCTGATGAGGCCGCCACGAGTGCGATCTTATGTATTTGACCAGCAATTTTATTTCAGTCATTTTTATAATACATCAGGGTTGGACAAGTCTACTTGCGCAGGGCAAGTGAAAGCACTGTTTGGGCAATTGCATGTCCTCAGAACTTGCCCAATTTGGCAAGTATATTTTTATGTCCTGGTTGATAAAGCATACATCATAAACTTGGAAGTGCTTTCCTTCTTACAGAAGAAAAGAAAAATTTGCTTGCAGCAATTAGAAATGCATAGAAATATGTGACATCTTATTCAGATTTTGGGCAAGGGAGAAATCAATTTGGGCAAGTAGAAATGACCATGTACTTGCCCAACAAGTGAAAACTTGTACAACCCTGTACATTGTTACAAGTTGTGAAGTACTATAAAACTTCACAGAGAATTGTCGCCTATGAATACTTGTTTCTGTCGTGTTTGAAAGGCGTGAAGTTTACCCTACTACACACTGCTCTTGAGTAGTCAACACTGTTGGTTTGCGTAACTGAGTTTTGTGTTTTGTAGAGAACTTCCTGCCACATTTGCTCTGTCACAAGCACATAAATGAGGCACATGCAAAATGTTGATGCCACAATGGTATATTTTAGAATCATAACCCTGAACACCTGGATTAACAACATTGTGGGGTTGTTGCCAGGAGTTTAAAAAACATATTACAGCTGTCAAATGTGAATTAAGTCCTATTGATGTATTTCAGAGCCAGCTTTTAAGGCAGGAGATGTCGTGTGGGTAAAGCGTGGGACAGATGCTTCATGGCCTGCCATTGTAAGTACAGTCTGTAGATATGTATTAATGAAACTGTTAATTGTAACATACTTTAATGTACAACTTATAGGTTGTATATTTGTATATATTCACAGATACATGTACATATTGATACCTTACAAAACATTGCAGGTTAAGCATGTGTACCAACAAAAGCAGCGGCTGTCGGTCATTTTCATTGGGAGCAGTCAGGAAGAATGAGTTGCACATTACACAAGTACGTGTGTATGCAGAATTTCTCTTTTTAATACTCTAGCAAAGGTTTAATATGTAACATGGTGATGATTTGTCCTTTTTCTCAAATCAGGAAGACAGTAAACTTCAGGTCGGCATACATGTACAACAGCCGGATGAGTATTTTTTTGTATTTCTTCTTCTTCTTCTTTCCCGTACGTGCACAACCTCAATAAGTTGAGGGCTCCGGCACGGTGAGGGGTAGGGGTTTTTGGTTTGGATTTGGGGTGTCGCTCTTATTTTGTATTGTGTATATGTGTATATATATGTTGTTGTAGTCTGTTGGCTACAGACTACAAGCTCCTCAGTGGGCAGGGGCGCCACTCCCTGTCCGCCAGCTGGGTGGCGGTGAGTACCCGTGACTCTTGTTTGGGGTTACAAGGTGTGAATGGCATTTTTAAATGCCTGCAGTGACTTGGCTTTAACCACACTATCTGGTAGGCGGTTCCATTCTCTAACAGTTTTAGAGAAGAAGGAATTTAGGTGATAGTCAGCTCGTGAGCTTGGAGGGTGGAGGGCTAAGCTGTTTTCAGTGCGAGAGGGAGCTCGTAGCCCCTTGCTTGCTAGCGACATGTTATTTGTGATCTTATAAAACATCTGTAAGCGGGCGTTTCGCCTCCTTTCTACGAGCAAAGGCCAGTCAAGTGTGACTAACATGTTAGCCACACTAGACTGCCGTCTGTAGCGGCGGAGGGCAAATCGAGCCGCCCTTCTCTGGACAGCCTCCAGGTTCCTTATATTACTTTGGGTATAAGGATCCCATACCGTCTGACAATACTCTAGTATTGGGCGCACTAGGGTTTTGTAAGCCCGGGCTTTGACCTGTGGATTTGCAATGTTAATATTGCGTCTCAGGAAGTTAACGGTATTGTTGGCTTTTGAGGATACGTGATCTATATTTCTATATATATTTCTATGTCACACATCACGAATTTCGATACTAGTAACACAGGTAAAACCTGAAGGCTCAAGAATAGACGTAATTCCAATCTCCGCGGCCATTTTGAAAAGCGGGTCCCGCGAGAGTAGGCGGTGCGCGAACGCACGTGATTTTGCACGAAAACGAGACTGGTGCTTATACTGATTTCATTCAGCCCGCCTACACAATGGAGTCTAATGGCGCGTCCAGCGTTGCTGCATCTTCTTCGGTAAGTTACGTTCTTGTACGATGAAAGATCGAAATATTTGTACGTGTTACGAATAGATAAGGTTGTTGTGAACATTTGGGTCTAATTTCAGCCGGTAGAAATGACAAATCCCCGCTCATTTTCCGTATTTCTTGACCGAACTCATTGTTTACTATATGTACGTCATACGCTAAACGCTAGCTACGCTCGCATGAAAAAATACGTAATATACTGACTTCATTCGTACAAAACCTGTATAGGGACGTGAAAATGACAGGTAGACATCCTTGTGGTTAAACATTTAGCGAAATTTTGGGGTTGTTCCGGAAATTTCACGATCGCAAGCCGACATTGGCCTTAGATATCGTCGTGCGTAAATCGCCAAGTGGGGGAGGGGGGCGCTCGTACGTAACGTCTGTTCTTTCGAAGATTATCCTCTACTTTCTCCGGTAATATTTCAGTTTAACTGGATTAACTTCCACAGAAACGTACAAATGTTGAACTGGGATTCTAGCGGGGCGAACTTTACCGCAAAAGTGACGATTGCGAGTCGAAAATTTAATCATTTTTTAATACTACGTCTCGGTGTTGTGCATGCCTTTCTTCTATTTTCGTGTAACTTCGCGGCAAGTACTGCTATACTGTGCCTTCATTTCGGGTGGATTTGTGGTATCGGATTATCTTCTATTTTTATTAGGAGTTTAAAAATGGTTTATTATTGTTCTATAGTATGTGTAATGTTTTTGCTTCTTTTCTTTTCAGACAAACACATTGACGACTGCCAAGAATGGATCCAAGAAGAGATTCAGTGCAGGGACCTACTGCAAAGCATATGGGTGCAACAGCTCATTGTACAAATGTGTGGATGGGAAACAAGTCCCGACGAAAATATCATTTTTCGGTATCCCCAAAAAAGTACTGGAAGACAAAACTAAACTGAATCATTGGGCTGCTTTAAAAGACAGATTGGTAGGGATAACTTTACCCTTGACAAGTACTCCAAGCTTTGTGAAAAGCATTTCAAAGAATCAGATATTGTAAGGCGATCAGCAATGGGACTTCTGTTGCAGTCTCCAAGGCTTAGGGAGGGTAAGTTAACTTGACTATATGTATGTCCTGTTGGTTTGAATTGTTTTTATTTTGACTCATCCAGAGATTATACTTGCAATAATTAATATTGGCATTCTTAGTGAAAATTTTCCCTTATGTATTCATGTTAGGTGCAACCCCTGTCCTTCATTCGTGGACTAAAGTCACACCACAGAGACCAGCTCCGAAACCAAGATGGTGTCCTCCCCCCAAGAAACCCAAAGGACCACAAAAACTCAACAAGGTATTATGTCACATGTGGAATGTACATCTCTTTAATGTGGATACTTGTCATTCTTTTATATTTTATGTCAAATATTTCAGGGTATATAATAGTGGAACTCACTGTCACCAAGTACAGTAGGGGCACTGTCAATAGATAGCTTTAAACAATGTCTAGAGCTAGAAGTTCAAGGGTTAGGTGTAACAAGTCGATCGGTGTAATATAGCCAGCTGCCGCCGCGCCGCGTGCCTGCGAAGCTGGTGTGTTACGCCGAAAGGCGGTTATACCGGCTATACAGATACAGATACAGATAATAGTAGTGTATATTTGGGAATCAAAGTGAGTAAGAACACCTGTTAGTTTACACCTGAAGTGAAGGTAAGCTGTTCAGGCTGGCACCAAGCTGTAGGTCTTGTAGTGAATATATTGTCAAATTTTACCGTAGACATTGCATGAATAACTATACTGTGAAATAACACTCATTCTCTCTTAACAGATTGTCGTCTCAGAGCCTGACATTGCCATGGACACTTCAGCAAGTGGCACTTCTCCTGACCTCGACGTCTCTATGGATGCATCTGGATCAGGGCTGGACATGGACATAGACCAGTCAGTGCCAGACTTTAGTGAAAAGACTTCAGAAGTGGACACAGTCTCTAAGACTACTAGTATTGTAACAGTATCCCCGCCACCTGTGAAAGTCGATGTCAGTACTCAAACAGCCTGGACACCTCTAAGCACTTCCACCCAGACAACATCTGATTCAGATTGTAATGTTCAAAGTGTACATGATCATGTATACACATTTGTTAAAGACAAGTCCCAGACACTTGAGTCTTACAAGGATTATGTATTGCAACTGGAATCAAAACTTCAAGCTGTTGAGGAAGAATGCAAGCATCTGAAGAAAACTGTACACAGTTTGAAAGCTCAGGTAAATGCAAATACATTTTGTGCAAATGCTTTTAGGGGTGACGATGATGCAATGAGGTTTTATACAGGTTTGCCTAGTTTTGATGTCTTCATGGCATTGTATGAATACATAGCACCTAAAGCAATGCAGTTACAGTATTGGAGGGGTAGCAGCACTGTTCGTGACTCAAAGCCACACCAAAGACCAGGTATGTGCAGACCAGGTCCAAAGAAGAAGTGCACTCTGTTAGATGAGTTTTTCCTTGTGTTGGTTAGGCTTAAAGTTGGGTTGTTCCACAAAGATTTAGCCATCAGATTTAACTTATCTGAAAGCACAGTTTCCCGCATTGTAACCACCTGGATTAACTTTCTGTACCTGGAGCTTCCTTTGATGTTTCCGTTTCCGACACAAGCAGACATCAGGGCAAACATGCCTTTGCAGTTCTCTCAGTATCCAACCACCAGGATTATCATTGACTGTACAGAGATTTTCATTGAAGTCCCATCTGCCATGCTTGCTCAATCACAGACATGGTCTAACTACAAGCACCACAATACCTGGAAGGCACTTGTTGGTATTAGCCCAAATGGCATGGTCACTTTTGTCTCAAAGTTATGGGGGGGTCGTGTTTCAGACAAGGCTATCACAAGGGATTCAGGCCTACTGGCTTTGTTAGAAAGTGGGGACAATGTCATGGCTGATCGTGGTTTTGAGATATCTGATATTTTACCACCTGGTGTCTCACTCAACATCCCACCATTCAAGGGGGATCGGGCAGCCCTGTCTGCAGCTGAGGTCCAAGAGACAATGGACATTGCTTCAGTAAGGATACATGTTGAGAGGGCTATCGGTAGGATCAAAAACTACCACATTTTAGATGGAGTGATGCCAATAACAATGGCAAAGCAAGCAGACCAAATTTTCACTGTATGTGCATACTTAACAAACTTTTCACCGCCTCTGGTTAAGAAAGAATGAGCTTGATAAGTTTAGTTCCATCTTATGGTATTGTGTACTTATACACCCTTTTCATGTGCATACTTAACCTTTTCGCACGAAGAAAGACACTTGACCAGTTTATTTCCATTTTATGGCATATGTATATTGTATTAATGAGCACTTGTAAATCATTTACAGTGATTATTTATAGTACTGTGTTTGGAAATGTATAATCTATACAATGTGCTGTGGTCTTACTAGATTTACTTGCTCAAGAAAAATTGCCAGCTTATATTAAGTTATAAGTAATGGTATACCTCTTAGAAAAGTGTGAGGTCAGAAGATTATCATTCCATAATCACTTTGTACCATTTATGCAATAAATTGAAGAGCCAACAAGCAGATGAGGGCTACAATAAAATACATGTTGTTCAAGACTTTGATTAAGTTTGCTTTTATCTATATATAGAGATTGAGAGAGACAGTTAAGTGTTTGGTTCACTAAGATTCTTGTAAGAATCATATCAGTGTACATGACAGATTGTTAGCTATTGCCTGTGACTGACAATATTACCGACACCCACCAACGAGGAGGTCATCTGTCAAAGGGTGTCATCCCCCCAATCACATAAGTTTGTGATCCCAGTCTAAGAAAATTGTTACAACAGCTACTAACTATGCAAGATACATATGGGGATAACGGCGAACATTAAGTTGGGCCCCCTCAACAAGCCCACTGAGAATCTCATTCTTGAACACAAAAAATGAGGGTTACATAGTTAATGTTCTAGCCATATGCATACAGAGCATAGAGAGTGGCAGTAACTAACAATAATAAAGCACACTAGTTCTTCCCCCAAAGCAGGAGAGACATAGAGGTACATAGAATCCAACTGCCCATGTTCAGTTTTTTTTACAAAGGTTTCAGATACAGTTTCTTTCCACACATGGCTAGGAAAACTTACAACAGCCACTAACTATGCAGGATACATATGGGGATAAAGGCGAACATTAAGTTGGGCCCCCTCAACAAGCCCACTGAGAATCTAATCATCTAACCTTGAACACAAAAAATGAGGGTTACGTAGTTAATGTTCTAGCCATATGCATACAGAGCATAGAAAGTGGCAGTACATGTACTATCAAACTGATCACACTGAACCAGGAGAGAAGTTGAGTCCAACTGTCCTTGTTGTTTCTTTTACAATGGTTTCCACAAACCCGCCTTGTACAGTTTCTTCCCGCGTCTGACTCTCCTTGTCAGTAGTTCTGGCAGGATAGCTGACTTGAAGAAGTGGTCTAACTTAGGGAGATTGACCTGCCGCCACTGGGAGTCCACGAAAATCCTGTCACGTGCAATGTTGCCAGGACCAAAGTAGACAACAAAGTCTACCCACTCCAAGTCACAGCAGTACAACTTGGTGGTAGTACTTGTGACTTGGCTTGAGGCAGACCCTGCCATCTACTTTAGTCAGAAAGAAGGCACGGTCCTGGATGGCTTCTTTGATTGTACAGCCCTGTTTGGAGTAAGGGCATTTCACCTCCAGGCCTCCAACAGTCTTACCAGCTACCTGCACAAGTCTATCCACAGAAGCCCCCAACCACGGTCTCTCCAATGAGAGGATTAACCCTGCCTCTATGCAGTCCGCATGGAAGTTTTCGCTGTGAGCGAGGGACAGGTACTCATCCACGGCAACAGTCTCGTTGTTGTTTCCGTATGTAGTTGCTTTGGTGGTGAAACTGCTGTAAAGCATACCCTTCACTTTATTAGAGGGCTCCACCTTACAAGTAATGGCACTGCCAAAGTTTGATGATGTCAGTTTTTCTTTCCTTTTCTCCTTCCATGTTTCGCTGGAACCCTGCCCTCTTGTTTCCTGTTCTGTGGTCAACTGTTCATCCCTTGAAAGTTTCATTGACTTCATGTACGTTCCCATCATGTCCGAAAATGCACTGGTACTGAAGTCGTACAAGTCATTGAAGGGAAGGTCAAAGGAACCGTTGTCTTGTGTGTTGTGCTGGGGGTCCAGGGAACCGTTGTCTTGTGTGTTGTGCTGGGGGTCCAGGGAACCGCTGGCTTGTGTGTTGTGCTGGGGGTCCAGGGAACCGTTGTCTTGTGTATTGTGCTGGGGGTCCAGGGAACCGCTGGCTTGTGTGTTGTGCTGGGGGTCCAGGGAACCGTTGCCTTGTGTGTTGTGCTGGGGGTCCAGGGAACCGCTGGCTTGTGTGTTGTGCTGGGGGTCCAGGGAACCGTTGTCTTGTGTGTTGTGCTGGGGGTCCAGGGAACCGTTGCCTTGTGTGTTGTGCTGGGGGTCCAGGGAACCGTTGTGAGAGTGGCTGGAGTTAGAGGATGTGTCTCTATTAGCTCCATATAAAAGAAACATCGAATCTGGACACATAGACCCCATCTTTTGTCTGAACATGTCCAGTGCATTTTGGTCCACTGTCCTGTGGTGAAGTGCCCTGGGGTCATAGTGGTTTGTCTTCATGTACTTTGTCTCCTTTCCGTAGCGAATCCTTCCTAGTTTCACATTTGTTATCTCTTGGGCTTCAACCTATTGTTTGGAAAAACAGTTAAAACAGTTATGTATTAATATGACGGTATCAATATTTGGGCTAGCTATGTGCATAAAGTAAAAGTAAATATTTTTTTTGCCTTTAACTCATCTTTATGCATTTGTGATCCCTGGTAAGTAAAGGCATAGTCACAGACAAGTTAACACAGACTGAATGATGTAGAATGATAAAACGTACTGCTATAATATGTATTCCTGATAAATTATGTGTGTGTATGTATGTGTTTGTGTGCATGTATGTATGTGTGTGTGTGTGTGTGTGTGTATGTATGTATGTATGTGTGTGTGTGTGTGCATGTATGTATGTAAGTGTGTGTGTGTGCATGTATGTATGTGTGTGTGTGTGTGTGCATGCATGTGTGTGTGTGTGCATGTATGTATGTGTGTGTGTATGTGTGTGTGCATGTATGTATGTGTGTGTGTGCATGTATGTATGTGTGTATGTGTGAATACATAAACCGTGTAACTTATAAAAATGTAGATCATAAACACCTTGTCATTGCGTGGAACATTCCAGACTGAGAGCCTCGATGTTGACGACACAGGGGTTGGATTGTCCCTCAACTCTGTCTTATTGAACGCCTCGATGGCAAACAGTAGCCCTCCGATATGGTTACATTTGCCAAGTCCTCCAGGGCATGTCCTGCGTGGAAAATACAATAGTTTTAATAAATGGTATACACATTGTGGTGTCAATCAGTAGTATTAAAGAACTGTGATGAGAGACTTAGAAGAGATGGGGATCACTTGGGAAGGAGCCCAAAGGTAAGCACAGGACAGAAGACAATGGAGAGCTTTGGAGGCCTGCATCGTCGACAGATGACTGAGAGCGTTGAAGATGATGATGATTAGAAGAGAATATATTGATCTTAATCAAGGAATAATACACAATTTAAAAGTCCGAAAAGTTTAAAACAACATGTATTAGCAGTTCCAGTTACCTGGGCCAGTACTAGGTGTGACAAATGGTGCTTAAAATAATAGATCCATGTGCAGGTACTGATACATCTATGGCATTTCACAAGTATCATCTTATTCAAAGCCTGAAAAGTTCAAAAACAATGTGAGTTAGTTGTCCTCGTTACCAGTGAGAAGTGTATCAAAAGCCAACAGGGCTTGATTACATAAATCTGTGAGTACAAGTGCTGGCACATCAATGGTATTTGACAAGCATCATCATATATTTTCAACGTCTGAAAAAAATTATAAAATGTGGATTAGCATTTACAGTTATCTGGGTCAGTAGGAAGTGGAACAAAGGCCAACGGGGCTTGCATGAATGGACATATCAGTCACCCTGCTGGACAATCACATGCTGCCTTGGTGACTTGCCCGTTGTTGAATCCGATGATCGTGCAGTACTTAGCCTTTTCATGCTAGGCAGCACCTTTGCCTTGACATAGGTAGTGCCATGTTTCTTTGCAACCTGCATGCCCTTTACATTGCCCTCTGCAAAGTACTGGTAAGCCTTTAGCTTTTTGTACGATGTCGACGCAAGTTCAATGTGCTTGAACTTCTTCGTCAGGGTTATAAAGTAGGCATACAAGGCTGCAAAGTTAAACAATGGCAGCTGCCTCATGTCAGTGGTCCATACCGAGGCCCTGGTCTCCTGCTCCAGAGTTTTCACATCGCACTCAGTAGCTGATACCGGGACAGGAGCAGCCCGGAAACCTGTCTCTAACCCACGCCTGTTTCGAGTGGAACATTTAGTTCGAACGCGCCGCTCCGCGCCTAACCTCATTTGCATATATGGGAAAATTAACCTGCTCATTTGCATATATGGGAAAATACCGTGTTCCCGCTAGCGCACTGTGACTTTTGGCCTTTGACACCACAAATCATGACGTATAGTCACATGCAACCATTTGCAATGGGAACAACGTTGCTACAGGGTAGCGAACAGAGTCTTGCGAGAATTGGTTGAGTCTTTAGCACCTCTAAGCCGCGAGAATGCAGAAATTACGAAGAAAACTGGCTGGTCTCTCTTCGGATGTGTATTAAAGAGCCTGGTAAGTAACGTTTACTTCTTGATATTTCCGTATGACTACAAGT